AAACTACCAGCTGCTCCGTGGGAGAAAGATGAGGCTTTCTGCTCCCGTAAAGATTTACAGCCTTGGAAACCCTGTACAGGGTCGCTATGAGTCTGAACCTACTCCACTGCACATAACAACAACAACCATTCGTTGGTAGTCAGCCTCTCCTTCCTAGTCTTAGTCTGGAAGCTCATCTGAAACCTGTCCATCGTGGGTGACCCTGTTGGTAGTTAAAATATAGATGGCATAGCTTCCAGAATCACAGCAACATGCAAGCTGTCACAGTACAACAAACGACAAGTGGTGGAAGCTAGAAGTCTGAATTCAGGGTGTTGACAAGGCAAGGCTCTGTCCATTCCAGGGGAAAATCTTTCCTTATCTTTCAGCTTCTGGTAGCTCTGGCATTTCTTTTTATAAAACAACTTTATATTATGAATTGGATGAAGGTTTAGAAAGCTGATCAGTTTTCCATTAAATAATTCATACACATTTTGTTTCATCTCATTGATTGCCGTCCCCAGAATGAAATATCACTTACCCCACTCATTCCTGTTTCCATTCCTTCTTCTTTTTGAACTTTTCCAACCATTACCCTTGGGTAAATGATGACTTTTTTTTATCTCAAATTGTTGATTTCTATTTAATTTTGAAGAAAATACAGGTGTATGAGTTATATATTCTCAGGGGAAGGAAACATAAATTCTTAAACATAAACACATAATAAATATTGCTGCATTCAAATTCAATATATAATAAAACAAAGATAACAGGTAAGTCACTAACTGGGGAGCAGATATTTGTAACTCACAGAAATAACAGGGTTTGAACAGAGAAGAACCACTAGGCATGACATGCAATAGGGAATTTATTGTGAGATTTTGACCTTACACAATGATGAGAGCTGGTTAAGCAGCTTATGTACCGCTATTGTTTCTGCATCTAGTGTTAAGATATAAGTTCAGCAGCACAGGCAATGAGGAAGAAAAGATGGACATCAAGTTGGAGAGAGCAAGGACAACAGGGACCTGTGAGAAGAGTTAGAACTCACAAAGAGAAACTGGAACCCACATGGGTCTTTCATAACTCCCAACCCTCCAATTTCAATGATGTAAGTGACAAGTGACATATAGCAGAATCGGATGCACTTTAATCCAGGGCTGAAAACATACCTAGCCCATCAGCTGGAGAAGCTGAAGGAGAAGATACAGTGGGAGCTGAAAGAGATATGAGCCCAGGTGCTGTCTCACATCAATACAGTGAGTAAGCAGATCCATGACAACATGCTTGAACTGTATCAACACCTAAAACACCACCACAATACTTAATTTTTAAATAAAGACTATCAAATTAGTGCTTATTCTTAACATGATGCAATAATCTCTCATGCAATGAAAACATGCCAGATATGGAAAAAGAAAAAGTACATTCTTAACCCTCCCTTGTTCCCTACCAAGGAGGAGGCAAAGTCATTTTACTCATTCTACATCCTGAAGGACTTTACTTAAGCCCTCTCTGTAATTGGTCTTCAAAAGGCCATTCTACTGTTCTATCAGACCATCTTCTTCAGGGTGATAAGGAACATGGTAAGGCAGTGAATTCAATGAGCTGCATTTCATTGGTTATAAAATAAATGATTTGGTCAGAATCAGTGTTACATAGATTGCCATGACGGTATTTAAGTTCCTGAATGATAATATTAGCAAAAGCACTATGGCCTGGAGAAGAAAATCCTTATCAGAGTTAATGTATATTCCAATGGAAGCAATGGTTGATTGTTGAAGAGTGTTAGAGTGGCAGGGGATCAGTGCTGGTCTCTACTGTTGATAGCTTGGGCGCTCAACCGTGGCTGTAGCGAGACTGGCCTTGGTGGGTGGAAATCCAGATTGCTAATCCCGTGTATAATCCCCATCCCTCCCATCATGGACACATTTTTCTTGCATTTATTATGATAACCATGCCAATTTTGTCTTTGCTGATTAAATACCTCCATTTGGTCCCTGCCAACCTAGTATCGCATCATCCCCATTGGGTTTGGAGAACCCAGTTCAAAAGCATAAGTCCTGGCAGAACCCATGTGCTAGTGATGACTGTCAAGTTTGCTCTTGCAGTCCACCTGCTGCCCTCCGTCGCTGCCCGCAAGCCCACTTCTCCCTCTCCTGTGCCAGGAACTTGCCACCATCACTACCACCATGCCCTACCTGTACTTAGTGCTGACTCTGGAGCAGAAGAAGGAGCTATCCAACATTGCTCATTG